GCTCTTCCGATCTCTTATCTAAACCAAAAAATATTATTTTAACAAATAAAAGTTGTCCAAAAACAAATATAAGATCATACAAATTGCCAAGTATTTGATTAGACATAGACACAAAAATATTTTATTCCAAACCACAAAAATATTTTTTTAATAAATCGTTTAAATTATTCAAAATTAATTATATGCAGCAAAAGTTTAATACCATTATCTTCCCAAATAACTTTAAGTTTCGTAAAACAGACTTAAAGTTATTATAATGATCAATAGAATCATAGTGAAGCAAAAACTTGGCCATTATGTAAAATTTTTTTTTTAACTATTGCGAAGATCGCAAAATGGTAGAGGACTTTTTTGATCCACACTACCTGCCCACAAGCGCTGTACCATTGAGTACGAGACACCCTGTGTGTAACATTTTAATCAAAATCGACAGTCGAGAATAATAGATAAAATATTGAAAAAGGTATTTTTATTCACTGCTTATTATCATCCAATATACATTACACTCCAGTAATGGCAGTAATATTGCAACATCCTGTAATTGTAATCCACATTGTTAACTTACTTGCAATATGTAAATCTACAAATATTTAATAAACAATTTTCTTTCGGAAATTCTATATTCATTGTGTTCAGAAGTTATAAATGCAAAAATCACATTGTTAATGTAGTATTGATTACGCACTTTATAACAGAAAAATAAATATGCAGATTTTACGACTGGTTTTAGTGACTGAAGAAATCCATAACTAATCCACAATTAATATTGTCGAGTTTGTTACGTTTTATATATAATTTTTTAATTGATTTACGGATCGACTTCAGTGATGTGTAAATTTAAAAGCCAGTTTTGTAAAATTTATTAAATAAAAGAGTTAGCGCTTTATCAAATTAGTATATTTTACATATAATCACTTATATAATTATATCATATACATGAGTTTTAAAAACTTCGCAAAAGTTCTTGGCGATTTCTAAGATATTAAAATCTCGATATACTCAAAATTCGAGATACGAAACAATAGTAAAAATTGTAAATAAGACAATGCTCGATTTTAGTACATAGATTACGATTATTGGACGAAATACGATGACATCAACATGTTAACAGGGAAACTTTTGTAAATAAATACTTATAAAACAAGTATTTTTTAAAATGAATTTTGCATTCTTATTAATAAAGCATAAAGTCTGTGATATCAGTAAATTTGAAAGATATCAGGAAGCAGATATAGTTAATAAATATTATTGTGTTTTAATAAGAGAGTTATTCTAATATACATCCATAATTTTAGCATTTACAGGAATTACTTAATTTTGACTAAATAGCGCATGATATTGACACTTTATGGTACTGCTTTTTAGAGTATTAAACGTTGTAGTAACACTTGCATAGTGTTTCATTCCAATGAGTCTACTTGATATTCGCGTACTTTTTAAATGTCTTGCATTGACAATATTATACATACCTAAATTTTGTAAAGTGTCGTTACAATAAGGTTTATGATGGACAAAGGAGTACGAAAAATTAGAAATATCAACAGAATTTAGCTCGAAAATAATAAATTATGTAAATTTTAAAAATTCACAGATACACTTTCAATATTAATTCAATGACGTGGAATGTGAAATTGCTCTTTATCAATTTATTTAAATAAATAATATGTCCAATGAATCACAATATATCAAAACTAATATATATATATATATATATATATATATATATATATATAGTTCATATTTTTTAAGAATTTTACATATTTAAAATTTTTGAAAATTAAAAAAAAATCTCTCAAACTTCTTCAGATTTTACAAGATTTTTCGGAACGTATTATAGAATGAAAAATCTTAGAACGTTTTAGAATTTACATTTATAAAGTTATAAATTCTTCAAAAGATGTAGACTTTCTCAGCACTTCTGAAAAGTGTTCTAATTCTTATTAAAAAATCTGAGAAATTTTTTTAAGTTATAAAATTATCAATTCTAGAAAAATTTTTACCAGAAAAAAATTAAAACATTTTTGCAATGACACAAAATGTGTAGTCTACATCACTAGAAGTCAATGGCAATTGTCATCTCAAATATTACTCAATTCAAAAAATGTATTATCAATTAAACTCATTTATCCATAAATTTGATATCTCAAATTATTTTTATAAATTGCACAAGAAAATCTTATATCAAAATAGTTTTATTTCTAATCACAAGTTTCCGACAAATCCTAATTGCAAGTGGCGACAAATAAGAAAACCAATTAAGTGAAATTTTCAGCCAAATTTGTGTAAAAGATACCGTAAATCATTAAAGTAGGCTACTTACAATACATCACTATCATTTAATTGCAATAAAAAAAATAGTATGAATGGTGGTAATGGAAATATTGTGAGATTATGATATTTAGAAACAGAAATTTCGTTAATTACAGAATATTATGATAAAAAGAAATGAATGTTCTTAGTTCAATGGACTATTCTTATGATGTTTCAGCTGCCTCTAGTATCTGTTGATGATGATCCTTCGCCTCGTTGAATTTTTAACCACTCAACAAATTCGTCAAGCATTACTGGCCCTAAAAAAACCATATATTATATATACAATAGCCACTGTGTATGTAAACATAAGATAATTCACTGTTTTTATTAGAATTAACATAAACTTCCTTAACATAATATTCCTTCTATGCACTTACACGCTCCGTCTAAATCATAATTAGATAAGTCATGATTGATTGTACGTGAAAATTCTAATATGTTGCACCATTGATCTTTATTGATCACTTTGTACTTTGATTGATCTAGGAACTGAGCAAACTGTGTAAATAGTGGCCAATGCTTTCCCAAAAGCAGTTGTAACATTACTCTTGCCGTTTCCATTTCCATACTACGTTGATCTTTGTCCTGTAAAAAGTTTGAGCGAAATAATCGAAAGTAGCTGACAAGAATATTCGACGCCCGTTACATTCGTATGTGTATATCTGAATACTGATAATAATAACAGTTACAACGTCGCACGTACTCTAGCGAAGTCGTAAGCATATCTGTAGATTCCCTTAAATGTGTACGGGTCATTTAATTGATTCCTTAGATACTCGAGCTTCTGTTGTATTTTACTAATCGAGTCGCACTGAAGCTCCGAGAAGCCTTTAAGCCATTCGCTCAGTGTGAAGAAGCCCATTTGACGAGCGTTCATCCTGTACGCGAGAACGAGCATCACTACGTTTTCAGGTTCTACGCCGATATCCTCACAAAACTTCTCCATTCCTTCAGGCCCGAGAGTGTCCATGTCATCTGGAGAGGTATATTCTCTAAACCAGGTGATACAACGTTTTTGGGAGAATGTTGACACATTGGATACATCATCAGATTTTGTATATCGTCTGGCACTGCAATAATATTATTCATAATATTATGATATATATTGATATATCTTTTTCAATATATGTATACATATTAAAAATATTGAAAAATTATCCTTTTTATTTAATACAATAATAAATCAAACATTTATGACAATAATATAAATAACACTTATATATGATAATTAAAAAAGTAACATTAAAAAGATACTGACCATAGTGAAGGATTTTAAGATTGCTTTTAAAATTATTTTTTTTTGTTTCGTAATGATAGAGGATGTTGTTGGGTATAATTTAACGATTACAATATTAATAGATATTTATATGTTATATAGTGTTGTTAAAAAATATAATTTCAAACCTAGAGGTGTGTCTCAACCGTTTTGAAGGATGCCTAGGTAAACTTTCTTCATGTGCACCAGACACTGACATATCAATGGGAGTATGATTGTGGTTTGTGCTGGAAGGCCCTCTTCGCTTGCTACGTGGCATCCCTCTGTTTACTAGAATAAAAATTTAATTTTTACTTAAAGCCATGTTTCTCTCTTAAATTAATGCTTAAAAAAATAGCTTTATTATTTTCAACATTATAAATCTCTTGATGGCAATCTTGATAATAATTACAGTGCTGTCCAAAATTTAGATTCTGAGCACTGACTTGACGTATGTCGGCGTTCAGACTTGTTGCATTATGCACCTTCCTTTCTTTTCCTCCTTTAAAAAAAAGGAATAGGCAATAAGCATAAACATTGATACATCAAGCCAATGTTCACAAATCTTGAACAACATTGTTTTAATGTAACAAAATTATCTATATACATATTACATTGATTGATTGACATATTACATATACATAAAGATAATTTTGTATACATTAACAAATATATGATATATATTTAATGTATATCTATTTTACACATTTTTATACAATAGATATATGTTAAATATATACAATATACTTTACCCAAATAAACAAATTGTTCGCAGCATGCCAGCAGATGGGCAACATATTCGAAAATTGGCCATCAATCTTATCTGCATTAAGTTTAATGATTTCGCCAAATGAGGCCTGCTAATATAATCTGACAGAAATAGACAGAATCTGCGTTTAATAGATTTTTTTTCTATATCTGTTGTCATTCTGCGAACTGTGTAGCAAGTGTCAAAAAATCTGCTTAATTTTTGCTACGTGTCATCATATCTTATGACGCACAAATCTTGCTATAACTATTACCGGTACTCTATCAAGAGTATTAAATATATTCCTAGATAAATTATTGTATATTCTTTGTACTTAAAAATTAAATTAAAGTATATGTTTGACATTTGACGAAAACAAGAATATTTTAATAACAGTCCAACATTGGTGAAAATTTTTCTCAAAATTCTTCATATAATTTTGCAGAATTTTTAAGACATTACTTAGCTGATCTTAAAATAAGAATGGACTATGAACTAGTCTTAATATATTATACTTTTTATTCTATATTTTCTGAAGAAAACTTACAAAATCTGAAAAAATGTAAGATATTTTTCAAAAATCTTGATAAAATATGACAAATTCTTAAAAATATTATGAGATATTATAAAAATGTTTTTTCAGAAAATATAGCAATAAAAAACAAACCTATTGTATATGCCAAATATCAAATCTGTCTTTTGTCCGACAAAGGACAATGGGTCAAATATGTCAATTCTATCTAAAAAGTATAATGTAAATTATACATGTAATTTTTTTGCATCACTGAATATAACAGTACCGGTTTTATTTGTCTGAAGCCGTGAGGAATTCAAAATTTATCTTCAAGATGTCGAAATAAGTCTTTTCTTATAGTAATAGGTAGAAATCTAGTTTTCTATCTATCTTTGTAACATATACTTTACAAAATCTGTTTTCGACAGACCTGGCTGTATACACAGATTTACATTATGAATCAACTATTTAAAAAAAATGTATATAAAAGATATATATACTACTTTTTCTTTTTAACAGCTAATTTTTAAATCAAGATTTATCTCAAGGTATCGAAATAAGTCTTTTTTTATAGTAATAGGTAGAAATCTAATTTTACCTATCTTTGTAACAGATATTTTACAAAATCTGTTTTTGACAGACTTGGCTGTATACACAGATTTATATCATAAATCAACTATTTAAAAAAAATGTATATAAATAATATATATATATATATATACACACATACTTTTTTCTTTTTAACAGCTGATTTATTGTATAAATCTTGCGACTAAGTATACACATACAAGCGTTTAATCTACAGGAAAATCGTATGAACCAAATCTATTTATGGAGCTTTTATGTCAACATGATAAGATCGTTGACTTGAAGCTTTTTGGAATCTATTGACAGTTGCTGCAAGAACAATGAGACTTCATGACAAGAGTCTCGTGGATATATGCATAAATGTCAAAATGATAAAACGTATTATATTATACGAAAAGTTTGCGGACGAATAGGAGTATCGTAGAGCATCAGACAAACGCGAGAGGCAAACGAGATACTGAGAAGAGGTCCATGACGTTAAAAAAGGAAAAATCGAGAGGTTGAGAACGATGTAATCTCATTGTACCGCAAATGTATGCGCGCAAAGCGAATATTATAGGTATTTCGCGAATGATATACGCGCTACTTCCAAAAAGTCGATGCCCGTATGTCGCCCGATGGTCGCGTGCGAAAAAAAAACGTCGGTGCGGTTTCGAGAAGCGATAAGACGCAGAATGATGGAAAATGCAAGACGAAAAGATCGACGTTATTAATATGCGCATGGAAGGGAGGAAGGGAGGGCCGGGATGAACGTGAGAACGAGCGTCCCACGATCGAGACCGAGAGACAAATTAACACGCACTCTCTTACCGCGCGCGACTAGAACGCTCGTTTATCAAATGGCGAGTCAGATGGGAATATCAAAGCTGAGGGCAGAACGCGAGAACGACGTATGAACGTAACTCGAACGTAACTTTTTTTTTTCTTCGTCGACGTTAAACTGACATCTCTCGCTTGCTCGCTCCTCACTCCCCTACTCACTCACTCCCTTTCTCTCTCTTTCTGTACCTGAGACAGAGAGAAAGAGAGCACGCGATCGAGCGAGTTATCACGATTAGGTGCTTAGGTTAGGATCGCCAATTGAACTTACACATATCACGCAATCGTCGATCTCGCGCGACTCTACCGTTCTATCCTGAGATCCGGCGTGACGGTGAGGGCTGGGGGGGGAAAAAAAAATTCACGCGCGTCGACAGTTTCGCCCTGGCGCTTGCTCGATCTCGATCTCGAGAGAGAGAGAGAGAGAGAGAAAGAGAGAGAGAGAGACCAGTGGCACGCGCGGAGCTCGCCAAAAACACCCGAATGAAAATACGGGGAAATCCTCGCGCTCGTTAGTGCGAATCGCGTGAGTCACGTCGTAATATATTTTAGACGCGAGATTTCTCGCGTCACGCCGAGTACGCAAGAGTCGGCTGCTCCTTCCGAACAATCGCGATAGTGTCGCGCGAAGAGCGACCCGCGCGGCGAGAGCGTCGCGCGCCGTCCTTACCTTCCTCTACGAATCGCTAGAAAAACTCCGTTTTACTCTCCGAGGGAAGTATATCCGCTCCGTCGTGTTTCCACTACGTTATTAGCAGCGAGATCACCACGCATCAAGATCATCGAAATTTTACGTCCATGAGTTGCCGTGGAATGTGCAAACGGTATCGATCATAGTGCCATCGGCAACATATATACCCGTCACCCGATCGATCGGCTTAATTCGAATCCAGCGGATTCAGCCTCGATTTTACAACCAAAATACCGCACGGTCTGAGATCCTTCTCCCCAGGTGCACGGTCGGTTTTATTTCGTTTTAATACCGTTTTCATAGACGGCATGCCTATCCCCCACCTTTCGGCTTCTCTTGGCTTTCTTGCAGGGGTGCCATTGGTGCCAACCGTGCAGAATCCTCTCTCACAATTCTCAGTGGCCTAGTTTACACCGAGCATTTGATACGCGTAACTAGTAACTTTCTATTAAATTTTCTTAATTCCGACGATGCATATAAACTTATACATGATATATGTATTTAATTAATCATATTAATGCATAGTGTATCAACTTAGTACATTATTCTTTAAATGCATTGTAGAAATTAAGATAATTTAATAGAAAGTTACTAGTTAGTACGCGTATCAAGTGTGCGTTCGGATTCCACATCCGTGTTAAGGCCCGTTCTACAATACGTCGTATGTCGCGTCGTAAGCCGTAATCCGTAAGAATTGACCAATTACAATCGAATATTCTTCTTACCATTTAACTGTGATTGGTCAGTTCTTACGACTTACGGCTTACGACCCGACATACGACGTATTGTAGAACAGGCCTAAACCGTAAGAAATTTACCAATCGCAGTCAATTAGTCTTCTCATATTCGACTGTGATTGGTGAATTTCTTACGGCTTACGATTTACTACTCTTATTGTAGATGGACCTTAATGTAGAACCGGCTTGACACGCTCAGTGGGAACGTACCCTTAAGAATTTCAACCTATCGGAAACCGTATACGTACTATGGAATACATGGTTTGCGCTCTACCACAGCCATTTGCATTGTCCTGCTCTGTCGGCTGTCCCGTTCATGGACGATTGCTTCTTTCCGGTTCTGAATCGCACGCGACACGATGGGTATGTTACGGGATTTCTTATTATTATCGTAGATAATGAAATAATAATTATGAAAAGTCTAAATCTTACGACGGAAACTCTGTCAGTATATTTTTCTCAACATTTTCGATACTACACGCTCCTGCAAATGTGTAAATTGTACTTTTTCCGCTGACGCGATCACGCAGCGTGCTTCGAAGTGTCGAGAGCAACGTGGGGCAATAATTGTCAGACATGCCAATGTAGCTAGTATTAGGGTATATATGATAACTTTGTCTCGTGCCGAACGTAGAAGCATTTTTGATATTTCCTCGTATGACGGACTTCTCTTTTTGTATCCGAAATAAATATAATACAAAACATAACCTAGTTATTCACCTTGTGTCACAGGTAAACCCAGAGGTCTTCGTACGGCACGTAAGCACGTGAATCACAGACGTGAGCAGCGATGGAACGATAAGGACTACAAAAAGGCACATTTGGGAACCAGATGGAAGGCCAATCCTTTCGGCGGCGCCTCTCATGCCAAAGGCATCGTCCTGGAAAAAGTGTAAGTAACAACGTTCGCGTGATGAGTTTCAGTAACGTTTGCGTCTCGTTTGCTCCGTCAAGCGATGACTTATTGGTGTTTCATTACTCAACAGAGGAGTGGAGGCCAAACAGCCGAACTCTGCCATTCGTAAGTGCGTCAGGGTGCAACTCATTAAGAACGGAAAGAAGATAACAGCCTTCGTGCCGAGGGACGGTTGTCTCAACAACATCGAGGAAAACGACGAGGTTCTAGTGGCAGGTTTCGGTCGTAAAGGCCACGCCGTCGGTGAT